TCTAGCTTACATGAATTCTTTTGAATCTCATTGTCATCAAAGGATGATGATATTACATATATACATTTATAGATTTTTGTATGTAGAGAAAAATGCAGTCTGACGAGTTAATATGTCCACTAGCTGAGTATCGATACTAGTATAAGTCTATAACGAATTAACGATCAAAGTCAAATCAGTATCCTAATAATAGTGAAGCAAATTCAAAATCATGGGATGATATATGAACCAATTACCTCTAAATGAACTAGCCAATTGTTAATTCCATCTCCAGATCCTCTATCCCAATGGTATGCAGGTGCGCTTCCATCCAAACAAACTGTAAAATTACCCAAAAAGTAAAAGTAATAATTCACTGGTCAAAAAGTACATAAATATAAATATTTACAAAAGCTAGCTTCATTGTTATTATTTTTTTTAATACCTCCTCCTTTAGCCACAGCACTTTCAACATATGTAATGGTAATAGAGGAGCTTTTAGTTTTTTTCAATAATATCAGCAAAAAAACCAAAATGCACAGCCATTTCTGTAGTTCTCCAGTCATTTTGCTGTGAAATTTTCAACAGAATAAAAATAGTCAATAAAATTAAAATGAACAAAATGCAGCACACATCCACTTGATTAAAGTTTATATATATATATATATGTTTGAAAATAATAATAACAATACTGACAGTTAAGGTGGAAAGAAAGAAAATTAGAAAAATAAAAGAGGGTTATTTACTGTAAATTAGCTTCTTAGTGTTGTGTATTGGTGAGAGAGAATACAAATTGGTGTGCTTTGTGGTGTTCAACTTACACACATATATAGACTCGTGAGTTTATACAGCTACTTTATTAGCTTTAATTTTCTATTCCAAAATCATGTACAAATTCATATTTCATTCCATAAGATTTGTTAGAAGAGGTTAGAACATACAGCGTTGCGTTCACACTAGAGACGGTACCGTAATTAATCAATTCTAGTGTGAACGCAACGCTGTATGTTCTAACCTCGTCCTGCTTGAATTGGCGTTCACACTTAAATTGATTAATTACGGTACCGTCCCTAGAGTGAACGCAACGCTGTATGTTCTAACCTCCTCGTCCTGTTTGAATTGGTTCGTTGCGTTCACACTAGGGATGGTACCGTAATTAATCAATTCAAGTATCACTTGTGAGTTGTCCCATATCGTTCATACATGGGAAATAGATCCACCTTATAAGACTAATGGCTACTTCTCCTTCCACCAATTGGTTTGGGATGAAACCCCATTTGGGTTTCATATGGGTTTTTCCCGTTTTCCCATGATGCGCGTGATAGTGGGTCCGCACCAATTTTCCCCCAATTTCTGTCATGGTATCAGAGTCGGTTCTACCGTGCGACGATGTACCCGTTTATGAGGACCTACTTCTAGTAGGGCTTGGGCACCCAGCCAGTTGGACTTGGGCTTTCGAAGGACTCACAAGTGAGGGGGCGTCTGTCATGATATCAGAGTCGGTTCTACCGTGCGACGACGTACCCGTTTATGAGGACCTACTTCTAGTAGGGCTTGGGCACCCAGCCAGTTGGACTTGGGCTTTCGAAGGACTCACAAGTCGGGGGCGTGTTAGAATATCACTTGTGAAATTTTCAACAGAATAAAAATAGTCAATAAAATTAAAATGAACAAAATGCAGCACACATCCACTTGATTAAAGTTTATATATATATATATATGTTTGAAAATAATAATAACAATACTGGCAGTTAAGGTGGAAAGAAAGAAAATTAGAAAAATAAAAGAGGGTTATTTACTGTAAAATAGCTTCTTAGTGTTGTGTATTGGGGAGAGAGAATACAAATTGGTGTGCTTTGTGGTGTTCAACTTACACACATATATAGACCCGTGAGTTTATACAGCTACATTATTAGCTTTAATTTTCTATTCCAAAATCATGTACAAATTCATATTTCATTCCATAAGATTTGTTAGAATATCATTTGTGAGTTGTCCCACATCGTTCATACATGGAAAATAGATCCACCTTATAAGACTAATAGGCTACTCCTCCTTCCACCAATTGGTTTTGGGATGAAACTCATTTGGGTTTCATATGGGCTTTTCCCGTTTTCTCATGGTGCGCGTGATAGTGGGTGGGTCCGCACCCATTTTCCCTCAGTTTCTGTCATGGTATCAGAGTCGGTTCTACCGTGCGATGACGTACCCATTTATGAGGGCCTACTTCTAGTAGGGCATTTTCCCCCAATTTCTGTCATGGTATCAGAGTCGGTTCTATCGTGCGATGACGTACCCGTTTATGAGGGCCTACTTCTAGTACGGCTTGGGCACCCAGCCAGTTGGACTTGGGCTTTCGAAGGACTCACAAGTGAGGGAGCGTGTTAGAATATCACTTGTGAGTTGTCCCACGTCGTTCATACATGGAAAATAAACCCACCTTATAAGACTAATGAGCTACTCCTCCTCCACCAATTGGTTTTGGGATGGAACCCCATTTGGGCTTCATATGGGCTGTTGATACCCAATTTGACTCTGATTAATTAAATCATAAATAAAATAATAAAATACGGCCCGACAACCAAGGGGCCGAAAATACGTAATAAATAGACGTACAAACAGATTCTAAAAACTAATCGCCTAAAAATCAACCGAATTCCCAAATGTCGAGTTCACCCGCTACCGAGTCAAATAGGATTCAAAGTCGCCTCCTGTAGATACCATAGTTGCCGAGGAGATGGACGTCATTCGAAACCGTCAAGGGTCATAAGCGGATCCCACGATGACTATCTCCCGTTAAATAATAATGTACTACCTTTCATTTATCTATTGGTAATTACCCACTTGTAACAAAAAGAGCCATGTATAAATATGTGAAAAGAGGAGAGAGAAAGGGCGTCCCTTCATTCATCATTCTTCTCCCTACAACACAAGAAATAGAGAGAATTTCTCCAAAATAATAAAAATAACACACCATTCTCATCTATTTTGGTTCTTCATTTTCATAGACAATTCGACTTATGTTTAACAGTTGATCGTCCGATTTTCGACATCAACATGGGCTTTTCCCGTTTTCCCATGGTGCGCTTCATGATAGTGGGCCCGCATCCATTTTTCCCAATTTCTGTCAAGATTAATGATAGGTGTTCATACTAATGTTAAGTTGCAATTATACACGTATTAATCATCAAATGAAATGAAACAAGAATCATCATAAGCGACTGACATAAAATTTTTGTATGATATATTTTATTGTTAGATAAATCTACCCATCATATCTTGTAAACAAAAAATACATATTAATTTATAATATTTAATATTATACGATCAGTTTATGTCAATTTCTATTTATGGTAATTTCTTAAAATATGATACATGTGAAAAGAATATATTAGTTTAATAAAAAATAAACACGTGTTATAAATAATGTATTCTTTAATACAGTTTTGCTATGAAGCCAATAGTTGGCTCTATAGTGAAGTCAATCATCTATATACAACAAGTAAATCATACAATATTCTCTGATTACTTAAATTTATTTAAGTAATCAGAGAAAATCTATCATTATATTAAAAGAATAATCTTTTTATGATTTCCCGCCAAAATCATTATTTTCCCTCCAAAATCATTAAATACCCGCCAAAATCATTACTTTTCCTCTAAAATCATTAAATACCCGCTAAAATCATTATTTTTCCTCTAAAATCATTAAATAAATAGTGATATAGTGTTAACAAAAAAACCGGCGCTGGTTTTTGTGATGTTTTTCTTTTTCCTATTTTGTTAGGTTAACAAAATAATACATGCGATGGTTTTTGTGATGGTTCCTTTTTTCCTATTTTTTAGGTTAACAAAATAATAGATATTGTGTTGATTTGTTTTCCTTTTCATTTAAACTTTTTAGGCAGAAATTTCGAAACATTATATTTGATTTAATGTGTATATATTTATTTTTTTTTTCCTTTTTTTTTGACCGAAGGTGTTTATTAAATTAGCCTTATAATATTTTAGTTACTTTAAACAAATTGTTTAGACATTTATTTTTTACATATTCATCTATATATACACATATACACATATACATAATTGATATTAAATTTAATTATTTGTAGACATGCTTTTTTTGCAAAATAGTCTAGAAATTTTTTTTTACATAATGTTAAATTCAAATGTTTTTAGATATGTTTTCTTTTTAAAATTGTTTAGAAAAGTTGTAGGTGACTTGTATCTTTTAAAAATAATATAGAAAATTTTGAATACTTTTACATATACTAATATAATATTTTAGGTGTTTTCAATATTAAATATACAAATTTTATATTCTATTATACAAAATAATGTAAAATTTATATTCTCTTATACAAAATAATTTTACATTGTCTGACCCCGACACTTTAATATATAATTATTATTTTTTCTTCCCCTTTTTAAATAGGATCAATAATAGTTTCCACTTTCGCCATTGAGTGACTCAAACTTGAGGTATATTTATAATATTGTTAATGTAATATTGTTACCGTGCATCGCACGGGTACACACTAGTTTAAGTAATCAGAGAATATAGTATGATTTACTTGTTGTATATATTGTTGTATATAGATGGTTGGCTCCACTATGGAGCCAACCGTTGACTTCATAGCAAAATAGTTCTTTAATAATATCGAATTTTTCACACTTTTTATTTAAAAATATTTTTGTTTTCACTTTTTCATCTCACTTTTGTCAGTTGGGATAAAATTCTTTTGAATATATTTCGTGAAGCTACGTGATGGGCAGGTGCTCGAGTGCTCATTCACTTTCTTCTTCTCATTTGATATCGAAAAGACAATTAGAAAGTTGAAAATTACAAGGAAAAAGAATCTTGTGCAACTTGCCAATTTTGCAATTTATTTATTTTTTCTCCATTTGACCAAATAAAAAAATGTCAAATTTTAGGATATATAACTAAATTAAGAAATAAATAAAAATATAAAAAAAAATGCTATTTTAGTTTCTTCAAAACAAAAAATCTGAATAATCTACAATAAGAATATACATTTCTCAATAAATATTATGAATATATAATGAAATACGAAATAGTCAGTGTTATTATTGCATTCTTGTCTTTATTTGTTCACACATACGTTAAAAAGTATAAATATAAATTCAACTTGCATGATTTAATTATAGTGGAAAGAATACTAATGATGGAAATGTATTTGTTTAAAAAAAGAGAAAAAAAAAAGGCAAAAAAATGACAATGATAAAATTGGATATTTCTTTTTAGACAAACATGAGAATATCTTGAGTAATCAACATTGCTACATGGAATTCACTCTACCTCGCTAGCTAGCCTGCAAATGAATTTTTTACATGAATATCTGTAATTTACTTTACTTAATTAATTACCTAGATGGTTAATGCATGCCCACTTGCTCATTAGGTCTTCCCTTCATTCAATTTCTGTAATGACCAATAAAAAGGTGAATTATTGTTAACATTACTCAAATATTGAATTAGAAAAATATATCATAGTTTTATTTTCAACAATAAAAAATACTGTATCCTTTCTCGTAGACCTGCCGGCGAAAATAAATCAATGGTGAGAGAGTTACTTTTGAAATGGCCTATGGATTATATTTTATGAAAAGGTTGAGCTCATGCTTACTAGAAGGTCCACGACTAAAGGACATAACTAACCAACTATTAAAACCTATTTCTATAAAAATAACTGAGTTGGGAGAATTCCCAAATTGTCTGAATTCATTTCAAAACATATAAGATAATTATTAATTGCTATATTGGGAAGTTACAAACAATTATCTCTATCTTCCTTCTCTCTTTTATTTTCACGTTTCTTCTTCTTTTCAATCTCTCTTCTTTCTCTCTTTCTTCTATTTTCTCGTTTCTTTTTTCTTCTTCTTCTTCAAACATGATTGAGTAAGAATAAAAACAACAAAAACAAAAAACAAAGAGTTAAACAATTGGATATATAATTATCTACCTAATGAAACCACAAATACACCAATACCAAGCAAGCAACAAATCATAGATACATTAACAGAGTCCAAAAATATGACTCAGAACTCGGAACGATAAATAGGTAAATAAAAATCAAAACCCAGAATATCTTCCATAGCTTCAAATGTCTACATTCACTTTGCCAACGAAACAAAAATCCATAGTTCAAGCCGGCCAATAAAGATAAAAGAAAATTTACTACAAACAGACTCATAGATAAAAGGTTGAAGAGCATTCAATTCGATATAGCGGAGAGAATTTCAACTTAGTCAAAGAGGCTGAATCCCAAATCCTGCATAACAGCTAGAAAAATTGAAAAAGGCACAAAGGTAGGATTTCCTGTAACGTCAAAACAATAACATAACAACATAAAGAATGGTGGCGCCAATCTCGTCCGCCGTACCGACGACATTCTTGTAGGGATTGAAGAAGCGAAGAAACAATTTGGAAGTAATTGATAGAAAACAGCCAACAAGCGTTTGTAGTCCAACAGTTAGGATAATTGCCTTCCAAGCAATAGACCCGGGTTCGACTCCCGGCAAACGCAGTTAAAATTTATTTTTGTTTCCTTTATTATCTCTGTTACTTAACCATATGCAATATTTTTTCTAGTCCAATTTTCTGTTTCCTTTTTTATATATTTCCCTTATTCTTTTTTTTTTTCATTTAAAACAAACATTTACACTACTATGTAATTTTCTACATATTAATTTTTTACAAATTTATTTTCTAATTTATAATTTGAATATTTGAGCAATTATGAGCCTTGTTAATTATAAAATGAATAAATAATACGAATAATGATAACCGTATGTAATATTTTTTCTTGTCCTATTTTCAGCCTTGTTTCCTTTTTGCTATATTTCCTTGTTCCTTTGTTTTTTAATTTAAAAGAAAAAACATTTATACTACTATGTAATTTTCTACATATTAATTTTAAAAATCTAGTGTCTAATTTATAATTTGAATTTTTTGGACAATTATGAACATTGCCAATTATAAAACGAATAGATATAATGAAACAGTAGACAAATATACATGTACATAATCGGAACACGTCATTTGGATGCATAGCATGTTACATATCAACGTTCATTCTAAACATCCTATGTATCATAATGATATGCTATACATACTCCAAGATCCAAACTTCATACAATTTCATCGAATCCCATATGACGGAACTGATAATTATTTAGGCTCGGTTGTTTGATAGGTGACTTTGTGACTTGGTTGGAGATTTTTTTGCTAAATACATGAAGTAAGAACATCTATTTT